ACGCGGAAATATTAAAGAACCAGATTCTGAATCTCTTCCACCGGTTATTTTCATCCCTCATTATTTTCTCGTAACCCAAACAGATCGAAGACAGGTTTTCTGTAGGTTCGCGTTTTTATCGACATCTTCGGACTCGAACTTCCCTGAGATGTTTTCCCTTTTATTCTGCGGCAACAATTACCAAGCCGCGACGACGATTTCAACGAATCGCGTCTTCGATTGTCCAGATCAGCGACGGGAACTAGAACTTAAGAAAGCTCTGTTTTATGCAAAGAAAATAATTCCACGTTTAGCAGGAAAACGAGAGAAATATAAGTTACCCGAGGCCACATCATATAAGAAGGAAACAAACAGAGAGACACCCTCCATTAATGAATGATATTACAGCTTTTTTTTTCCCCCTAGTGCGCCTGCGACTACCGTAATAGTTTCATCTAGTCATGATATTTTTCAGTCAGGGGACCATAATTTTAATTTTGATTAGTAGCTTCAAAGAATATCCGATAATGAAGATGATAATGATTATACAGATTTAGGGCCGGCAGAGTCACAAGTGCCAAGTGGATGAATATATATATATATATATATATTCCTGTATTCCTAAATATATATAAGACTCATATATTAGTGTGTACGAGGAAATTATATTTAGGAGCGGAGGAATATATATATGTGTGTAAAATGTTCTGTATGTATTGGAGTGATCCTCCCTCTTATTTCTTGTTTTTTTGGGCGGCAAGTGTTTTAGATTTTTTTTTTTCTTAGCTAACCGCAGCAAATATTTAGACACTGGCCTCGCTTGGATATAAAAATAAGAATATAAATATTTATAAACATGTTGAGAGAATTTCTTTCACATACCCATTTTGTATTTTATAAATTATGATTGAAAAGTTGTCTATAAATCATTTTGAAGACGGATGCTTTAATGAGTTTATTTTAAATGATGATTGTGTAAAATATTTCTTAAAATGCTTATGGGGGGATTATATATTAAAAAAAGGAAAAATATGGTGAGGACTGAGGAGGTGGATGATGGGTTCATTTCGGATGATTTTGGATGTCTAGAGATTTTAATGACTGCCCTTTTGAATTTTTTCTTTCGTGAATAAAGACAAACTAGTCAAAAAACTGCCCTTTTGAATTTTACTAGAACTAGAATTTTGCAATTAAAAAAATCTAAAGGATGTCGATGATGTGTACTGTGTTCAATTGCTCTTCGATCAAATCCAAAAACAGACCAAATCCATCGCTTTGGATGTTAAGAGGTGACTTTTATAAGTTCCGTATTTGAATAAGATATTGAATTTATGGTGGGCTAGACCAGATATCATTGAAAAGTTCTTCTACAAAAGATATTTATATCGATTAGAATAAAATTCTCTAACAGGTCTTCTGTTTTAATTTAATTATATAAAATTATTTATTTTAACAATATATTTTAATCCAAACTAGTTAAAATGTATTAATAGCTGGCAAGAAAAGTTCAAATTTATTAATAACTTGATAAAAATTTGAGTAATTTTCTTACAGATGTGTGCTTAACAAAAATATAATATTCTCAGAGTTATATCATTTTTCTAATCTTATAATTTAATTAAAAATATATATTATTGCAAGACGTTTTCAAGTGACATATATATATTTAAAATATCTACATTGTTAAAAATAAAAATATAGAATCTTAAAATTAATTAACTTTATAACGTGGTCAAACTCCATCCATTTAATAATATGACAAAAAAGTTGAAAATGTATATCAATGTTATTTTTGGCAAGTATATGATTAAATGATTGTTAGGTAAGATTCATCTTGAGAAATGCGTTGCGGTCAAAACAGAAAAAAAGTTTAATAGTTAGATGGATGTAAATAAAATCTGAAAATTATAAGAAAGATTTGCATAATATATACTTCTTCGATCCTAAGGCTAAATACAAGACTTATTTTATAATATAATTTTATATAAGTTTTTTTCAAATAAAATAAACATCATCATAATTCAAATTAAAGAGAAGGGGAGCATTCAAGAGTTCTGTTATTTATTGTGAATACGCACTTATTGACTGTTGTATTAGGTTTTATTTTACTTTCTCATGACAAAACTAGCATGAAGGACTCATCTTTAATCTTACCGGTACTTTTAGTGGAAGGATTATACTGAAAGTGAATGCCGATGAAGAAAAGATTTATGAGGTCTCGAGAGCGATATTTTTCTTGCAAATATTTAATCATTTACGGCAATACATTAATCGTTAAAAAAAGAAATTGAAAAGTCTTGAGAATTATGGCTCACATTTGTAAAAAAAAATTTTATTGAAAAGGTGTGATTTAATATTTATTTAGCTGTCTGAGAGGAAAACACAGAGAAGGGGGGGAAAGGAGAGCACTTTCTATTATATTTATATGTTACTCTTTTGAAGCCTTTCCCCACAGCTGCTCCACCGGTTGCCTCCAACTCGATCTTTTCGTCATCAATGTCTCTATGCCCCGCTTTCTATTATATGATTTTCCCTTATGAGTTTGTAACGATACATATTTATTTATTCAAATAAAAAATTGTTTCTTCATTCCTTTTCTTTTATTATATATTCATTCATGATCAGTTTTTGGATTCATTTGTCGCTTACAAAATGTGGCCTGCCTGTATAATTCTGATGCCATAAATAGTTACGCTGTTTAACGTGCAAAATGTCATCCACTGATTTATGTCCAAGTCAGGTCTCTCAATAATAAGAAGCTCTCTGCATGTGATTTCTTCGCATTTTGAAAACTCAGCTTAATTAGTTCTCTGGTCTTATTTATAAGACACTTTCAGTATATTTCATACGAACCAAAAAAAATTTAAAATATATTAACTCTATCAAAATATAACAATTTTTTCTATTTTACCCGTATTTAATATATATATATTTCAAAAGCGATAACTACCTACACTATAATAAACTAAAGACAAAACAATACATTCAGCTGAAAATTTAATAAAGTAATTTATAAATATGACCCAGAAAAAACTTCTCTCTCTGTCATATAAATAAAATCATAAGAGTATGTTATTCCCTTCGTCACTTCTTATGAGAAACAATTGCTATCAAGAGTCCCTAAATATAAGAAACCAGTGTTTTTCTTTTTGTCTGAAATTTTAAATTAGTCTTTTTGCTTTTATCACAATTAAATATATGTCACTTATTAGCTCTTTGCAGTAAATCTTCCCTTATTACTTCATATGTATTCTCTTTACAAACAATAATATAATTGAAAAAATATGTATACATCTTGCATATTTTTTGCTTCTAATTAAATTTAACTTGCATTTTGAATCCCATGATTTTAGTAATTGTTTCTTATAATAAGGAATTAATAATTGTTTATAATAGGCAAAATGACGCTTTAATAACTCAAATCCTTATTTGAGTAATTAAATTTGTCAAGTTCCTAATCAGGTCACATGACCCAACAAAGAATTTTAAAATTTTTGAAATGACTCTAATACCGTTTTCATTAAAAATCTAGAGAGAATGTTGAGTTCCTTTTTCAATTAATGAATGCATTAGAGTCATTTCATAAAATTTTAAAATCCCCTTTTTAAGTCACATCACCTGATTAGTAGTTTGATAAATTTAACAACTTAAATAAAAATTTAGGTCATTTAACTATATTTTTAAAGATTGTCTCTTTATAATAATAAGTAACGCAGCGAGTACAAGATATTGAATCTCTTATACTTGGTCTGATTTCTCACTCAGTCACCCTGATCATTTTCAACCCTTTTTTGGCATGTTTTGGATGGAGGTACAAGACAACATAAATAATGATTCCTAGAATTTAGTTAAAAAAACTGTGTCCGAAATTATTTGGCCAAAAAAAACTAAAACAGGTCCTCATGGGAGTTTGGCTCCGCATTTTTCCTTTTTGAACTCAAAAGTCAATCACTAACAGTCTACAGTTCAAATTTATGATCTTCCATTGATAATGAAACCTGTATCAATATATATAATATCTGCTTCTTACTTTGATTTTGGTCATTACAATTTCAAATTAAAGGTTTATGTGCTTCAAATTTCTTTCTGCATAAAACTTTTATCCCTATATTTTAACAAGAACTTGGATCGTTTTATCCTGAAAAAACCTCATTGCCCCCCAGAATGCAAATAAGGACACAATTGGGTTAGGGGCTTAGGGCGAAATGGCATTCACTCAGGCTTGACCATAGGGGTACCAATTAATTTCGCCATTTGTTGTTCCAGACATACCCGCTCACAGGCCAATCCTAGAATATGTAAATTGAACTCACAAAAATAATAGTAACAATAATAATATGAAATTCCCCAAATGTCGTACTTCGACAAAGGAATCAAGCGGAGATAGAGCCACGCATGGTCATGCCCTTCGCTGCTCCAAACTTTATGCCTATCATGTCCATTTATATTTTCATCACAGGACGCCCATTTCAAGTTTTGGTATCTTATTCTCTTGCTAGTGGCACTTCTCATGCACTGCGCTCCCCCTCACCCTTCCTCTCCTGTCCCTCATCCTCATCGTCCATTCCTACCTCTCCTGTGGGTCCCCCCTCCCACCTTTCTCCGGACCAGCTTTGTTGGCCACTTCTCCTCTGTCTTGGATTTCGCGCGTCCATCCCACGCTCCCCGTTCCTATTCCCCACTTTTCACCCTTCCTCATTACCATAATGCCCCTATCCTATTCATACTCTTCCTTCCCATTGCAGGTCTCTCCCATTAGTTGGTTGCTAGGGTGTATATTCTGTTAATGTAGGTGCGTGGCCATGTGATTATCGCCGCTGCTTCCTCTCTTGCCCGCCGTATTTAAAATTCGCTTTTGGACAGCCGCAGTGACGTGTGATAGCGGCAGGCCTCTTTTTCGCGAACAAGCCCTTCGTAGCTCCGCGTAAATAGGCGAATAACCTAGGGGCAATATGGTCCGTGGAGCTAAACAAATAGAAACATACGAAGGACCGAGAAAGAAAGAGAGAGCGAGCAAGCAAACCAAACCCTGATTATCGAGTTTTGTGAGATCTGCGAAACCAAAAAAAATACTGGAGATCTCTTTCTCTCCCACCCCACAACAGAGAAACAGAGAAGCAGAAATCAGTTCCGGAGACGAATCCCTTCGCGAATCTTCGTATCTTCCTTCTACCTTCCCCCCATGAGGATCCGCAAGAACGCCAAGCTCTGTGGTGGTGTTGCTTCTGCTGGTGGTTCGGTCCTGTTCGGTCTCGACGACAACTTTCAGACCCACGTGTGTCAGCTGAACCAGTCGCCATGGGATGTGATCCCCTTCGGCTCAGACTCGCCCCTCCAGGTTCCCCACTCCCTCTCTATCTTCTATTTCATTTTCCGCTCCAGATCTACCCCAAAACCCTTCCCGTCACCCACTTTCGTCTAATTCTCTGCATTCCGATATTAGGGTTTTTCTTCCCCTCTTTCTTCCGTATTTCCTTCTTTAGGTTCTCCCCGCACCCTAAATTCTCCTTGTTCGATCATGTATATTGCTTCCAACTCTCAATTAGGTCAATGATTATCGTATCACTCGTTTCTCACTGTTACTCATTGCTCCGCTCAGTTCGACGGAGAAGAAGATAGCTTTACTGGGAATGGAAGTCGTGGTGATTCTGTTGGAGCCGTTGAGAGGTAAGCTAATATCCCCCATTTATCCTTCGATTGGCGACTGTACATATATTGTTCACTAGGGTTTTTGTCTCGAGCATTTCTTCGATGCTGCAATGTAATTCTCCCAAATTTCTCATCCTGATCAAAACGCAGCGTCGCGTCAATGATGGACGCCGACGATCAGACGAAGCCGTTTCCCAAGATAGAGGATATGGCCGTCGTCGTGCACGATAACGAAGCGAAGGTGCTCGAAGATATTGATGAGGGAAGAATCGCAGACGAAACGACCTCGTTTTGCCTGAAAACCGACGGGAAGAATTGGCATTGTAAGAACGAAGCTAAACAAGGTCAATCATTCTGTGAGCATCACTTGTCTTTGCTTAGGTCATACAATAACAATAATAGCGTTAGTTATAATCATAACAACACCTCATCTTCAAAGAAAGCGGCCGCTGCCGCAGCTGCTGCTGCAGTCGCCTCCGCCGCCGGAGCACGGCGCGGGAAAGCACGTGCCGCGAAGAGAGCTTCTTCTTCTTCTTCTTCTTCGGCTGCTTCGAACCCATATGAATTCTATTACTATTCTGGGTTTGGTCCGTTGTGGGGGAAGAGAAGAGGCGATAGGAATGGAGAAGGAAGCAATAATCATAGGAGCAAGAACGAGCAACTCAAGGGGGTTGAGAATTCGACGATAACGGAAGCCGAAGAAGCGAACGAGGAAACCACCCAGAACACATCATCGCCTTCTCGTTCGTCTTCATCGTCGCAGATGGATAACGAGGAATTCGATTACGGGATGGACGATGACGAGGAGGACGAAGAGGACGAGGAAGAAGGCGCGAATGGAGATAGCGGGAAGAAGCGAATGAGGAAGCCAGTGAAAGCGAGGTCGTTGAAATCGCTAATGTAGGATAAAAGAGGTGGAGGCTTTGGGGGGAGTTTAATGCGTGTCGTTGTGATTATCGTTGTTGTTGTGATTTTATCGTGATTTTCTAATTTTTGTTTTTAAGATTTCTGATTTTAGGGTTATGGAGGAATGAGGCTAATTTTTAGTTTGACATGATGATGTGTCGTAGCGTTGGGTTGGGTGGGGGTGTGAAAGAGGTGGGGGTGTGAGGAGCGAAGATGTTTGCAAGGGGGGCAAAACGGTAAATTGGGAAGATCTAATTTGTAGTTTGTGGATATAGTAGCGAGGGGACTTTAACATCTCAAAGCTTTATCAGGGGAACGGAGGATTGGACTTTATAAATTGGCAGTTATATCCCATGCATAAGCATATTGTGGCCCACCATATATGCCAGCTTATAATTGTGAAAGTTGCTTTCTCTTTTTGGGGATTCTTGCATACGCTTTAGTATTACTCAATAAAATAAAACTGAACACCTCATATTATATTCCTTTTTTTTAATAATAATCTATTATGAGTAAATAGAAATTCAGAAGACAACACTTATCAGACATTTTATGATTTTATATTCTCTTACCACCTCTTATTTTTAATATAACAACTAGTTGGGTAATTTAAATAGATTAAAATTTTTTATTAAATTAATTATTCCTCTGGTCTTATTTATAAGGCAAAGAGAAGATATTTTTTGTCCTATTTATATAGTACTTAAAGAAATTTTTTTATATAGATGTACAATTTTACCTTTTATTTGTTATTGTATTGATTTTGTTTGTATAAGGTATACTGTATATTAAATAGGGATAAAGTTGCAAAGTTGTTGAATTTTAAATGAGAGTTAATAAAGTTTAAAGTTTTTCTTCGTCAGTATGAAATATGCTGGAAGTTACTTAAAAATAAAACCAAAAGAATATTTTGTGATAAATATTAGTTGAATTTCCTAAAATCCCTAGCTAGAATTACTAATTGATAGAATTTTTAACATGTGCAATTACTATAATGATTATTTTAAAATAAACAAATAAATATGAGAGACAAAGTGAATTTTAGTTTTATATGTAGGATCAAATTGGAAGCCAGAGTAGCTTTTGCATATTAAGAATGAGATGTAATATCATTTAGTAGATTTATCGTATTTTATTCAAATATTTTATTAAAAAACATAAATATGTGGTGCATTGAGGGTGCATGTTTTTTGGGAGTAACAATGGGCCGTTTTTGTTTCTTTCATGGGGTTTCTGCTGTCCCAAATAATAACCGAAAAGAGCGAATTTTCTTTTACCAACTTCTTTGGATGAAATGAATTTAGAGTATGCAACTGTGTATGGATCCGAATCTTCTCGCCTCTTGTCCACTTTTCCTTTTCTCGTCTCAGTCTCATTCTTTGAATCAAAAATTGAACGGCTGAAATTTAATTAGATTTATTTATTTGTTTTAATGTCAAGTTTGAGCGATTTAAAATTATTATTTTTTACTTATTTGGGATTATATATTTTTTTTAAATAGTAATCCTCGGGCATTTAATTTTTCATTCAAAGTGGTTATGGGCTGAGGGGAGAAAAAAAGAAGAGAAAGGATGGAAAGAAGATGCAGATGCGCGTGTGTGCTATATATATACAACAAGTACCAAAAACAATGAAGCCAGAGAGGAGATCAATGTGAATTTTCTACATACGTGAAAGTTGTTGTATTTTGTATGCAGTGAAGAAAAAAATAGGAAGAATTCCATTAAAAGAATCTAAAAATTACTAAATCTTAGATCAAGATTATTTCATACACTTTAACATATTTTTACTATCTTGAGATTCTTGACTTATAAATAACAACATATTTTTATAGGAATTCATGATTTGAATTTAGTAAGTTTCAGATATTTTTATGAGATTTTATCAAAGAAAATAAGGGATCATTTTGGGTAGAATATTGGAGCCGTTTGGCATAGCAGTGAAAATTCTCTATAAGCATGTTTCACGTAAATCGAGACAAAATTTTTCTGACATATTTGCCTCGTATTCTGTAAATTACTATTGAAAAGCAGCTTATAAACTACTTATAAGTTATTCTAAACGAGCTTATTGTGTGTGCTCAAATGAATGTTGTCGCCATCACTTGAGCAGAAATGAAGACCTGTCTTTCTAAAATAAAAAAGGGAAATCAAGACGAATTTCGGATATTGCCATATTTTCTGATTGTATATATATATATATATATATATAGTGTTTGTGTGTAATTAATTAATTGTTTTATTGTTTGTTTATTTTCGGGGCGTGGGGGAACGATGGTGTAGCTCAAGCATGAGCCCAGATAACGCGCAATGGCGGTGTGCATTAAATTAGATTAATAGACCCAGTGAGTACATGTTTGAACACGAAGCTCGGAACATGGCCTTGTATGTTTATCTCTATGAAGCCATTGTTAAGATAAATAAATAAATAAATAAAACATACGCATATGCAATCCAAATACTTTTCTTATTGAAATTTATATTTAACATAATTAGTAGTATTCATTTATAGTTATGTAGACATTTTTTTAATTGACGGCATTCGCAGATATTTGTGGCACCTGGGTTGAGCAAAGATTAATAGAAGTTCAATTAATATTTTATTTTACTAGCTTCCTAGTCAAATAATGTTAGGCATAAGTAAAATGTTACTCGTACAACAAGTTGTATCATTAATAATATAAGTTCGCACAGCACACACATTCACACACACACACCCCTTGCAACTTGAACTTTGATTGAGCAGAAGGGAAGAGGATTAGGGAGATATTGGAATTTTTTTTTCTATTTGGTTTTTTATTGCTAAGAAGGTGAAAAATAAAAAAAAAAATTTATTCACGAACCCACATATTATTTTCATTTTTCTCCTTTTAGAATGAGAAGGACGAAGAGAGGAGGGTTAAAAATAGAAAGAAGAATAAAATAATTAAAATTAAAAATGTTTATTTCCACTATTTCCTTTCATTTTTTCAATTTCAAATTAGTTTCAGATATAGCATTATGTGAATATAATTTATAAGCATAATTTGACTCCAAAATATGGTGCTTAGATATGGAAATTATAACTGAAAAACAGGTAATAGTAGGTTATGAAATAATCATGATTTTTTATTCACAATTGATTTTGACATGTGCAAATAATGTGTATTGGTATGTTTGAAAAAAAAACCATGGTTTTGATTTTTCAAATTCAATTGTACCAAAAATCAATATTGTAAATTAATTACAACTAAATCTATTCTTCAAATCATAATAATTATAAAGCAATTTAATTCGAAATTTATTTTACGCGCCTCTATTGTGCAGTGATGATTAATTTGTTTTCTATATCTAACTGTAGTTTATTTTCCATCCGATTTACTTTTGAACATAGTGTATATAATATGAAAATTTTAACAAATTAATATTATTTATGAATTATAAATTATACAAATTATTTTTCAGATTCTATGGATCACATGAGATGTGCATTAGTTTATTTTAAAAAAAACTGTGAATTTTATGGCCCTCAATAAAATGAAACTTTTCCACCTTAAGAAAAGCAAAATTCGATTCCGTTTATTGAAGATTCGATCTTATTCTTTTAGGAGTCACTGTTTTGTCGTTTTCTTGGCCTTTATGGTACTCAGTTGCTTTGTGGAAGGGCATTAGGCAAAATGGCTCATGCAATGAAGACCCCACAAAAAAAAACAAAAAAACAAAGAAAGGATATGAACAACGGATAAAATGCCATCGATTTTGAAAAATAATATCAAGAATTCATGAAAACACGATATTTAAGTTGGATAATAAGCTCAGAATAGATAATTAACATGATTTATAATTTAGTACCATCAATCTCAGTATTACGTAAACTATTAAAATTGATCTCAAATTTTATACAAATACACGTAGGATTCATTTTATTTGAGATGAACATGTGTGTGTATAATGAATTTTAGGTGGCAGTTATGCATAATTTGAATTATTATTGTAATAACTAGACAATGAGTCTCGTCTTGCAGTCAAAAATAAGTTCTATTGTTCATACCTTGGTTATAAATTTTATTACATATATTGTTAAAATATTAATATTTAATAAAGGAAAAATACATGTTAAATATAAAAAAAAACAAATAAGTCGTGCTAACTATTTTTATAGAGGTTCTAAGTGCTCTTGTAATGATTTTAACAAGTCAAAATCTATCAAAATCATCTATTTATTATTTTAAAATTCAACAGATATTTTTTGTTATTTTCGATAAAGACATGAAGGTGCTTTTGCGATTCTCTCGCAATATGAAGTGATATTTTTGACCGAATCCCCAGTGAATAAACTCATTTGTTAGAGTAGATGGCTGCATTTATCATTCCCTACAAACAAAATAAATAAATAAAGACCGGCAAAAGATGGTGAAAATGTTCCTTATATTTCACAATATAATTACGTGAATGTAAATTCCATTGTTGATGTAAAATTTTTATCGAAAATTAGTTTAGAATTATATTTATAAGGACTCGAGTTTTGAGACTTGTTATTGATTGTTTTGATAAGTTCTGAGCACTCAAATTTGATATATATATAGAGGGGGGGGAGAAGATTAGAAAAATACAGCAAATTCATTAAGACTGGCGGCGATGGAACAAGAAATCATCATCCATCCAATAGATACATTAAAAAGAGAAGTTCATTTTTAATTCTGTGAATTTTGAGCTTGAAACCTTACAAGTTATTCCATAGTACACGATGAAGGTTACAAACTCGGTCACTGATTAATTAATGACTTTGGTGTCATTGCACAGCGCCAAAAAGGGGGAAAAAAAATCGGGAGAGAGAGAGGCTCAGTTATATGGAATTATGCCTTCACATGTGCACGTGCTGGTTCCGTAACGCCATAAAAAAAAAAAATGCTACCTCACATTAATTACACGTTGCAGAACATTACATGGCATTAATGCCCCTTAAACTAGTAAAATGGGCCAATTTCTTATAATACCATAAATTAAGATTCCACTTCTTATTAAAAGAAATATCATTTCATAGTGTCTTTTTAATAAACACACTTATATACTTTTTCTGTCTTTAATATAGGACGTTATTGTTAAATTGGTTTTGATTATAAATATAAGACATATTTCTCATATTTATTTTTTTTTTAAATTATCCTTACAGATACTCTTCAATTATAATCAAGTAGAAGAAGAAGGAAAGATATTAAGGAGGATGATTACGGTGTTTTAGAAAAAAAATGTCATATTTCTGATAATTGACTAACTTATCTAACTTTCTTAATTTAATCAAATTAATTAAATAGATGTAATATTAGGAACAGGAGGAGGAAGATAATTAGATAAACGGGGTAATATGAATGATATCTTTAATTGAAAGAGGGTGAGAGGTGCCTACCAAGTGGAGGGAGTAGGGTAGATATGGAACCTTTGCTACGTCCTAGTCTTAGTGCACCAGCACACATCAAACAACTCTTTAAAGTGAAGCTGGTATATATGGTCGGGTCACATCATCTTTAGTGACACCGCTTGATTTTGCCAAATGTGCCTTCTTTAATTAATTCAACTTCTCTTATGGTGGCTCCCTTTTGTTTTGTTTTGTTTTTTTTAATACTAGATAAGGTCCATATGAATGTGGTGGAATTAATTAGAAAGGAATTTAGTTGCAAAGTTGCGGCTGCACCTTATCTTACCTACTATCATCGTCCCATTCATTCCTTTTTTTTCCCCCCAAAAAAATATTTTTCAGTTTGTATTAGATCCAGAGAAGACATAAAAAAAGAGTGCAGCTGAGACTTATCTTTTTCCTTAATTCTTTTTTTTTTTGGCCAGATCGTTTTCCTTAATTATGGACTTAGATTATTTCCGATCTGTTTTTCAAACTAGAACGATTCTCTTGGGTGATATTCGCTGTACAGAATTTAATTTCTTTCTTTCTTTAAATGGATTGAGAAAATATAGTTTAATTGATTTTAAAAAATAGATTTTAAGAAAGTATAAAAGGATCATTAGTTATTTCCGTTGCTGAGTCCCCAGTTCTCCAGGGCGAAACACATCGTGGGCTTCTGCCAGCAGCTGGTGGACTGAGCATGTCCATTCTTCAGTCTACTTGGCTTCGATTATTTGGGCCCATTATAAAGTTGGGCCGTTAGGTTCAGTCCATTTGAAAACAACATGGTTCGCACATGGGATTAGGAAAGCTGACACTATCTGACGTCACTCTGTTGCTTTAATTTTTAAGGTGGCCTAAAAAAAAAAAAACAAAGGGAAGGTGAAGTGGGTTGAATTGTGTTCAAACACTAAACTAGAATCCATGATAAGGTAAAAGAATTAAGTGCAGTGCTGCCATTATTAGCAGCGTCTTAGCCGTCAAAAACCAAATGGCTATGCTCAGTACAAGTGAAACAGGATTCAAATTCAAAGTGCCTCACGCAGTGCTTGAACTGTACCCAAAAACCAAAAAAAAAAAGTGTTCCCCTAAAAAAGAGCTAAATGGGCCTAACCCAAGCCCAGTTTTTCTTTCCGGTGATAGGCCCAAACACCAAATGTTATTATTCGGTGAAGTGATTGTCAATTTACTTTTTTTTTTTTTTTGGGGGTGTATTCATGTGATGTTTGGCAAGTGCCGGTGCTTAATGGGTAGCAACTTCTGATTCCGTCGTCGCTAAGTAGTGCGCTGAACGCTTGAGTGCTTAGGCTGCCCCATTAAGAAAGGCATAAAGCAAATCACATATAAATGTACAAATTTGACTTCTAAATATGAAAGTTTTAGAGCCTATCTATATTTAATTTTTTCCATGAAATCTATGAATAATTTTTTTAAAAGAAAGAAAGGTTACATTTATGAACATGTTCATTTAAATAATTTAGAAGTTGCACAGGGAAACTTGGAGATATACTTATTCTTATAAAGCCATTTTCATGTTCACGTATTAATGACGATTTTCATGCGATACCAGGGTCATCTTTATTTATCATCATATTCAAAAAGGACATATTATTCATTTTAATATATATTACTAATTTTTTTGGGCCCAAATATTACTAAAATTTGAGGAACCAGTCATAACTTTTTTTTAAAAATAAAGATTTATAATTTTAAGGAGCTAATAATTTTTTTTTCCAACACAATTTCTTTCAACAAGATTTTTTCTGAATCATAAGATAAAAAAAAATCATGAACTTATCATTAATTTTTATATATAAATTTGTTATTGTGGAAAGCCATTTCAATCTTATTAGTGAAAAACAATAAGATTTTAAGAAAATTGATACTTGAGACATTCTCAAAAGTATAATTCTGATTTTAAAGTATTTAATTTATTTTTTTAAATATATTGATCATTTTTTGGGTGAAAATGTATGGATCCTTAAAAGATGCAATAACGATGGGGAAAAAAGGAAAGAAAGAATTGTACCAAAAAAAAAAAGGAAAGAAAGAAAAAATACGTTAGGGGCCTGACGTCCCCGGGCGCGCGTAAGGTTGGAGTCGCAACATCGCTTTACTGCTTTATGGAGACAAATCAACTCACTAACAGGGAGACCAAAACAAAAACGTGTTTAACACAATAAATTAATAAAAATAAAAATACTACCTCCAGTCCTTAATATAGTCCTTAATATAAGATACCGTTTAACTTTTTGTTTGGTCCTAATTATAAGATCCCAATCCATTTTGTCTCTCATATTTATACATTTTTTTCCAAGATAGTCCTTCTAATAATGATAGTGCTAGCCAATACACTTAATTAGCAAGGATATTTTAGGAATGACAACACTTATTTATTACAAATAACTAACTTAACTTACTTTCTTAATCTCCTCAAATAAGTCAACTGAGTCTTATAATTAGGATTAGAGGTAATAAAAAACATAATTTATTTATTCTTTTATTCTTTTAGAATATAAGAATATCGTACAGGGACTGAAGTACCAAAACTATTTTTCGGTTGTTAATCTCACTCGCGCTATAATTAATTAAACCATTAATGCCCCATTCTGCGTTTCGCTCCTCTGCAGCTCCATGCTCTGAGAAGCCGAGAGCTACTCTAAAAATCATAGTTTAGCAATATGGCTCTCAATTCGACTCAATGCCATCTTCGCAATTTGATTCTCACTCTTCAGCTGCTATTTTCTTGTCCATTGGGCATTCACTGTGCTGATGAACTGAAAACTGACAACACCTTTACTGTTTCCAGCTTCAGCTACCCTCGTACCACGCTTAAGCCCTTTGATTTGCGGTACATCAGAGGTGGGCTAGCCAATTGATAGTGAACTTTTTGGTTTGTATGGTTTATATGTTTTGTTTTGTTGTTCATGAAGCATAATTCTGTTGAAGTCTAATTGGTCGTGATTGGATTCTGAATCATATATGGCTTGCCTGTGTTTCTTGTTTTCCTCGGTTTTTCTTGCCACTCACAATGTTTTACTTTAGGAAAGTAGCAACAGTTTAGCTCTTCTTGATCATCTCAGTATTCTGTTTTCTGTATTTTGCTAGATTCCCGTTCAATTTAAATGACCCCATAATTTAATTCTCCAAGTATACATAAATCCTTCATTTCTTTTTGCTCTCATGGAAATTTAAGGAAAAGATAAAAATCACCTTTTTGTCAATCTTTTATCAGTGTATACTTCTTCAGCGGGACAATCAGGTCACTGGAAGAACTGATGTTGGCATGAAAATCGGATGCAATCTTATTAGATTTCATATCCCCCCCCCCCCTTTGTAATACATTGAGCTATAACTTGATGAAGAATTTTCAATATTCCGCTGTAGTCCCATCTTAGGTTAGTTACCTCTCCCAAGTCATGCCTCATTCTATGCGTACGAGATCTGGATTAATATGTGCTTTTTGCCTCTGTTATCAAGTTTAAAATGTTGGATAGCTACTTTGTTACATTTACATCTAGCTAATATCCAAGGAATCCTTGTGCGAGCAAGAATTAGATGATAATAAACTTTGCATGATTTACTTTTGAGGACTCTCAAGTGCATATTTATGGGGGGTTTTGGAAGATCTTACTTGTTTTTCTTGTTTTCCCTTGTCCCAGTTGATTTGCCACAATGGTTTTCTGCTGCGTCCATAGCCCTGAACTCAGATGTTGACCTTGTAAGTATATTCGCTGTACTTGATAGATAGAATACTATGGAATACTATCAGGTGCATGATGGCATGTTTGAGTTATAATGCTTGTTCAAATTTAATTTATTTTATGCTCTTTTGTTTTGATAGTTATCGTTTGAGTTACCTGTTATTGCTTGAGGTAAAAGTGAAAACAACACAACATTCCAATAGGAACTTGATTATATGTGTTTTTAATTTGTTGTTCTTGATTCATTTAATAAAAACATTCTCTTTTTTCTATCTGGTTTCATGCTAATTATGACATATTTGCCTCCCTCATCTGCTCAGGATGCCTCAACAATTGAAAGGGTTTCAAAAAGCGTACTGCCAATAATATGCTTTAGAGATGGAAGCCCTCCATTACCAGATGCATTGAACACTACTCTGAAAGATCCGGCCATTTCAGGTATGAGCCACCCAAGTCAGTTCAACTTTTAGCGTGTAGTTTATTTTGAAGTCCTTTTCAATGATACATCTATAATTTTGTTAGATTTAGGGTATACTCTGTGCTGCTAGCACAGTGAACCACTTTTACCCCAAAGAAATATCTTCATTTGTTCAAGTACCACCAACATTTATTATTGACATGATTTTTCTTCTGTTGTTTCATTATTATGTATTTAATTAAAATTTCTATTTTCCCCCCTTAATTTTTACAAACCACCTGGTATCTAGTTAGGTCAGGTCCTAGTTAGGTGGAGAACTCCCCCAACATGGTTTTCTCCATCCAAATTTGAGGCCTTACTTAAAGGATGTTGTGTCTCAATTTCGATCAGTTTTGTAGCTTTACTGTGATGTTTTTGGGGGTAAGGGATGAATGCTCAACCCAAGATTATGTGTTCCTTCTATTTCATGTCTTTTGCCTTATTTTATAGGAATGAATGGTCTTGATGTGGAGCAGTGCTTTCCCATGCGTAAAAACTTCACTATGAAATTGACAAATGAGCAGGTATTGCTAGAGGTCCTTTTACTTGAAGATGTAGTTTCGTTTGCTTATTCTGATATCATACTTTCAAGCTTAGTGTGTCTCTTACTTGTGGCTAGCAATGACATGAGTTTATATCCCTCAGTAGTTAATATTAAAATTCCTACAGTATGATTTTTTTTTTTTTGGGTGGTCGGGGTGGGAATCTGTGGTTTTGTTCACAGGCAATTTGATTATTGTCCTTTTTGAATAGACTGAAAATTTAACACATCATAGTTCAGATATCTCCAGGCATTTGGTACATTGGCCTTTTCAATGGCATTGGAGCGACAAGCACACAGTCAAAGATGGTATGGTTTATTATCCAAAAGACTGAATATTCCTAACGTTTGTTCATGACTTCTTTCAACCAGTTGAGCAACCCTTAAGTCCTGTGTTGTCAACTTCTGACGTTGGTGCAGTTACTGCTTTTTCAATCATGTTGTATTATTGTTTTTTTTTTCCTTCTTCTTATTTTTGGATGTTGGTGTTAATGACGGAATTCAGTGTCATATTTTCTATTCAATTATGTGTTAAAATTGAAGATGTTATCATTTTAAATTTATATAGTTGGGATCAAATCCATTCTCATAATTTTTTAATGTTTAATTGCTAAATTGTAATTTTTTATCACTATTGATATGATCATTGTCTTCTACAAGAACAACGACCCAATTCAATCCCTGATTTAGCTTTGAGCAGACAATTTTATCTTTAGATAATAAATGCATACAAAGTTTTCCAGAAAATTTCCACATCAACGTCCGGCTATATCTTTCAATAATGGGTCTTGACGCATCAACCACATAGTGACTATAAGAACTACTTCAATATCTGTGCAGATTATCCGAGGCCCAGCATACTCATTTAGTGCCAATATAAGTGTCCAAGGATGCACAAATTCCATGATGAGGGGCACATTCTGCAATAGTACTGTCTATCCACTTTCATGCTCAATCTCTGCTGCTTCAGAAGTGAACAAGTCAATGGTGGAAAATATGGTGACCTGCAGAAATAATTTTGGAACTGTTTGTGTTCAGGAAGGTGCGCCAGAATTATATTCCTTGGATATAATGAATATGGTGGAAAAGATGACCATTATGGCAGCAAATGTCACATTCCAAGTTACTCCTGTAAGTAGCACTTTTGGTGCAAATGATGCTAATCTAATGTGTTTTGCTCGGCATGGAGCAATACCTTCAGTAGCTTTGCATGACTATTCCTGTAATTTAAATAAAGGTCCTTTGGTCATTCGTTCACCCCTTATTGGTCGTTGGTACATTAGTATAATTCCAGTTAATCTTACAAAAAATATTGGAGAGGCACAGAAGAGTGATGTAAGAGTTTGCTATTCCGTGGAATCACAAGTGCTTGAATGCCCATCTGGGAAAGCTGGACCAAATTGTACAATGGAAAGCTATGTACTTCAGGTGGGATTGCTTACAAAATGTTCCTCTGCCTCTATTTTCAATTTTACTGTCACCTCATATGCTTTCTTTATTATGATAATGAACTGTGTGTCAATGTATCCTATTTGGGGAAAGAAAAAAAAATTGTATAGGTGACATTTCTTGTAGACGGTTACTTATACTTAAGGTTATAGGTTTTAAGGGTAGATTGAAAATATAATTTGCAATGCCTGTATCTTAATCACTGGTGATAAAAATATAGATGTGAAACTTTGGAAGGATAATCTGAGATTTGTATTAATTATCCCAAATTGAAATTAAACATGTATGAGCATGCTCACATTAGAATATCATATAGAACTTTAATATCCGTATGGATTTTTTCACTTACACCATCGAGGAAGTTACAATATGTTAGAAGCTAAAGGTGATTATCTTTTCCTATTTTATTGACATAGATTTAATATTAAGAACACATTGTACTAGAATAACTTCTGTCGTCTGCTTAAAAACAAAAAAAACAAAAAAACTTCTGTCTTGATGCTTGAAGAAATCCCATGAGTGTTTTCTTGACAGGGTGAGAATGGTTGTTTGCAGACAGTCCTAAGGAGAGGTTCAACCCCCTTTGAATCATATTATTTGCCCATTGGACAAGTGCCCTCAGATTCTGCTAATTTTCCTCTTCAGCCACTATTAAGCAATTCATCATACGTAGGAGAACGTGATAACACCTGGACTTACTTTCTTTTGGACATTCCTCGCGGTGCAGCTGGAGGAAACATTCACATTCGACTATCCTCTGATTCAAAGATCAGTTATGAAGTATATGCCAGATTTGGTGGATTGCCGTCTCTTGACAATTGGGATTATTATTATGCTAACAAGATTAGGAGGAGTGATCCATCTATGTTTTTCGTGCTATATGAATCAAGTGATGACAAGATTGATTTTTATATTATCTATGCTAGAGAAGGAACATGGGGCTTTGGTTTAAGACATATTAATACCAGTATTGCTTCTTCAAAGGGACAGACCGTCATGTCTCTTTCACTTGAAAGATGCCCAAAGCGATGCTCCTCACACGGGGTCTGCAAATTTTCTTTTGATGCAAGTGGACTAACATCCTACAGGTTTATTTTAAGCAGTTGTCCTGTTCTTTATTATCAATTATGTTATGGTTCAATCCTTTATTTCTATTGGCTAGGCAAGAATTTTAAATGGCAAACTATTGAATAGTGATTGAGGCATTATGAGGGTAGAGAATGCCATATTGCGCAGTTTCTAGATGGCATGATTTGTATTTATTTCATTAGTTGAAGTGTTTTCCTCTTGGCCTCAGCTTCTGCGCTTGTGATCGAAACCATGGGGGCTTTGACTGTAGCATCGAAATTGTGTCACATCAAGGTGGATGTTCAATTCGAACATATATTATTTTATTTTATTTTTCAAATATTTGTAATTATCTAAGTTGATCATTCTCTTTTTTGCCTTTTTATTTTTATCTGGTTTCCTGACTATGCATTCAATTTAGACCAATTTCCTTCAAAGAAGAATCATCCACCTGGCAGGCTAAACTATCTAGTTTGTAGATTCATATAATCAGTATAACCATCTTGTTCTGAATTTGCCCGGACATCTATACTTGCTTCTAATTTTAGTCAACTAATTGAAAATTTGTGCAGGGCATGTGAGGGAATCAATTTTTCTCATTGTCTCTAATGCTGCAGCCATATTGCCTGCATATTGGGCACTTCGGCGAAAGGTATTTCTCACCTTTCACTTTCTTTTTTGTATCAGGCTTTTATCATAATTTGTGTTAATTCAGTTTTAGAGGATTATGACTTTCTAGGGTGATGTCAGAAATATCGTAGAATCTTGTGGTTATAACAGTCTCTGACCCTCCTACCTACGTTAGGCTCTATCGTGAAATATTCAGCCACATGCAGGATTAGCCTTCTGGTGTCATCTTGAAAGTTGGGACCATTAAAACTAGCACGTGTACTGACATGTTGAGGAGAATAGTTCCTGATCCTATAATCTAGATATTTAAATAGACAAATTGAGGTGGAGATTAGCAACTTCAGAATCTTGTGTCATAAAATATTTGAATTTAAATAATAAACGGGGTATTTTTATTTAACTCGAAGATTATTACTGTTAAATCTCCAATAGAAAAATGATCCCTGTATATCTTACATGTTGCAATTGAACGCATACTTCCCTTCATGCAGGCCTTTGCAGAGTGGATTTTATTCACATCCAGTGGAATTTCAAGTGCACTATATCATGCTTGTGATGTAGGCACGTGGTGTGCGTTGAACTATAATGTCCTACAGGTTAGAGCTCTGCTTCCATTGTTTGTTTAATCTGTGGAAATAAAATATTTTTTAGTAGAAATGCAATTATGAAGATGACCTACTGTTGTGTATCAAAAAAAAGATGACCTACTGTTTTAAGTAAGTTGTGTTCTTAACGGATGTGATAACTGTTATTGCCAATCCTTTTAGCCCATATACATAACTTCTTGAGGGGGTCCAAAATTGATGTCCCGAAAAATAACAAAACAAACAGTGGAGTAGTTACTTTTTCTTGTGGGAATGTGCTCTCTCCTTATAAGTTTGTTTCAAAAGATCAGGGTAACCTTACATATTGCCTTAATATCTTTCAGTTCATGGACTTCTGGCTCTCTTTCATGGCTGTGGTTAGCACTTTCGTTTACCTTGCCACCATTGATGAAGTATTTAAGAGGGCAATTCACACAGCCGTTGCTATCCTTACAGCTCTGATGGCTGCAACAAAAGCAACCAGGTACACTAGACTATTACAGATATTTGTGTGGTTATATACCGCATAAGATGGTTTAGAGTATTGTTGGGTAATTTTCTATGCTGACATGGGCAGGTCTTCGAACATAGTTCTTGTAATAGTCATCGGAGGCGCTGGTCTTCTTATTGGTTGGTTGATAGAAATCTCATCGAAGTATAGGTCTCTTTCCTTCTCAATTGGATTTTCATTAAATTCCATTAACAGGTGAGTTCTGTCTACTCCCCCTCCCTTTTGGCCCCTCGTTCTCTCTACCTCATTAATAATAGCACGCATAGACTAACTAGTTGATGGAAGAGTTATTCTTGTCGTATTATGTTATAGAATTTAGATTTTTTTTTTTGGGGGGGGGGGGGGAGGGGACAGAGATAGAGAGCAAAGAATAATCTGAATAATATCAGTCTTGTTGAATTACAAATCTAATCATGTATGCTAGCTTTATTTATAGGCGTAAGTCCTAATAGATATAAATCTTAATAAAAATCTAGTCTCGTCTAAATATTCTCTAGATATCTTGATCTATCCAAACCCTACTAATATAATTTAAATCCTATTACTATTTAAATCAATTCTTATATAATTATAATTACATAACATATTGCACTTATGTTGATTGCTTCCCTATCATCCATAATTTCCCCCCTTCTGGGAGTTTTGGCTGACGCCATTAAACCTGGAATTCACCACAGATTAACACATTTATCCTAACCATTACAGTCTCGCTATTGTAATATTTAGTATTTCTGTTAGAGAAAAAGGAAAGTGGTATTTGGGATAATGATCCCTTCATGACTCATTCAAATGTCACTGAGGGTAACAACCTTTCAGGTCTTTTCTAAGTCACCTTGTGTGCCGAAGTAGCTCAGGAGAATCTTATAGACAGCTTACTTAAATATCTGGTCATTACTAAAATTAGGAATGATGGATTTTCCCTGCAGCTTGGAAACTATAAAGCAACGGCTTTATAATCTCATGAAGACGCTTCTGAGACGGTTCCGGTGGGGTTTCTTATTGGCTGGTTTTGTAGCATTGGCCATGGCTGGAATAAGCTGGAAGCTTGAAACTAGTCCGACGTACTGGTTTTGGCACAGGTATGATGTCACTAGTTTCCCAGTCTGCACCCACCACATTTGAATTCACTCAATTCATTAGAAAGTGACCGTGTCGACTTCAGAGAGATAGATGCATTGTTTATGAGCCTTACTTGAATCGTGAGGCCCTAAGCCCTTCACACGTGTCTATATTATTTTGAAATTTACACTATCAATTTCCTAAGAATCAGAGAGGGACCGTCATTTGATGTTTTTCTCTTTTACAGCATGTGGCACATCACAATATACACATCTTCTTTCTTCTTCCTTTGTTCGAAGGCAAAAAATGTTGACAGTGAGAATCAATCACTCGAAAGTGGAAACTATGCGCTGACTCCTCAAGATTCACTTTCAAGAGGTAGGAGGTGAAGGTTTTCTATGGAATACATAGGCTGCTGTAAAAAGGGTAGATTAGAGGATTTAATTCCTGAGGAGACATCAACGAAAGCGGTTTATCGATTGTACATTCTTTTCTGTTTGAGAGTTGCTGCTATAATTCTTTCTTTCTTTTTGCCCATATAATTAATAATTTTTGTTTATAAATGGGTCTTATGTTCCGGGGTAGGAGAGTGATTTAAAAATGGGCAAGTTTAGTGGTAGGGAAAGAGGTTATAGATAAGAGCTTTTATCATGTAGTCATCGTTTTTAAGATACAACTTTTTTTCCCTATGAAACCCTATGTGCAAACAAATTATTCAAGTGCAGTGAGAGCTCTTCTCTTTTCTTCTTGTTTTTTTATACAAGACTTGTTAATTTGCAAGTGTAGCCCTTCCTCCTTTTTCAGTGGGAAAAATGACTTCATTACATTTTCTCTGTAGAGTTTTGGATAGGTAAATCGTACAATTTTTTCTTTCACGCCTAAAAATTTATGTGGTGAGTTTTGAGAAACCATTAAAGTCGAGAAGGCTTAAAAAGTGCTTTACAAAAATATTTACATATTATCTACAAAATCCTCATATCAACATTAAAGAATTTGAGCTTACGCCAGTGTATGATATCTTATTTTACATAAACTAATAAAAATCTTAAATTTGTTTAAAATTCAACTTTTTAATTTTATTTTTATTTAATATATAATATATTGAATTAGAGCAAAGTTAACACAATAATAAATGAACAGTAAAATTGTATATTTATATTAAAATTCACTCTTTCCGTCTTATAAATAGCATGAAATTTTTTTTGCCTCTTTTTACTCTATAAATAGCACCATAGGAGTATATCATTACGAGTTGAATTAATGTTTGTTGATAATTATTATACAAATTTATAAATAGTACTGATACTTTTTTCCATTTGTGTAGAATTATTCATAACTTCATATAATACTACAGTCGTGGCTTTTGATTAAAATTTAAATTCAAATAATGTCTTGTTTATGACATCAACTTCACCATGAAATCAGTCCTCGTCAATGACCAACTACCCATTTGGTAAGGATATTCTTCCCCCGCCCCCAAAATTTTTATGTAATGTAATGATTTATTAATCAAATTATTTACCATTTATACTTGAAAATGTGCCATAACAAATTATATTTGTGCATGAGACTCGTTTGCTTTATTATTATACATCTCTCATTATGTTATATATATCTATTATGAATTTTAATTAATTATTTAACTATTCGATCTTTTTTACTCTTTCTGGTATTTTTGTAAGGCATTTCGAGCCTTTTCATTGTAACTGATGTGAGGCTATTAACTTTTAGAAAATGAGGGAAAAAATCAAATCTCTCTATATTTAAACTCATGTTTGAACGAAACATAAATTTTCTGTCCAAAAAACTCACGTTTTAATGAGAAAATTTTCAAGAAATAAAAAGATCAACAAATTAAACATTAAGAAATGGGCATTATTTAAAAAAGTGTAATAAATATATGCTCTAGCACTTCATGATAAGGGCCAAGTATTTCTCTTTAAAAGGCCTTATCCTATGCTGCTCAAAACATTAAAACAAGGTCCTTAGTATTTTTGTTATATCAACTTATAGTACTATTTACATGCAAATCATGAATATTAAAACCGATCTCTCAAACCACGACGATGCCTAGCTTGACACTTAGTTGAGTTTTTTAAACATTTAGTTAGGGATTTGATCCCTGATAGTGTGTACAGATAGGATTTTATAGTCGACACTAAAACCCCTTCAAAAAATCTAGAGTTTTTTAAACATTTAGTCAGAGATTCGATCCTGACAGTGTGTATGGATAAGATTTTATAATCAACACTAAAATCCCTTTAAAAAGTTTACAGTGTAAGAAAATTAGTTACTGCTACCGATAGTAGATAACTTGACCTCAACAAAAAAAAAAAATCATCCCTTGAACACCATGAGAAAATTTATTTATTTGTTTTGGCCAGAATCATGAGAAAATTTATCTACTTCATATAGTGAATGATTTGCATGTGGCGAGATCTCTAATTATAAGAAACTACTTGTTATTGACATATGTAATGATAACTATATCTGAAATTTAATTTGAACATGCGTATGTTCATCATATATATTCTCTTTAAGTATCACTTCTTATAGATTTTATAATAATATATTCAGAAAGTGAAGCTGGTCATGAGTATCATAGATAGTGTAGCAGAAGACACACATGAATCCATGGTTAAGTCATAATTAAGAAAGGATTCCGGAGTGAGAGCAGAAGGCGAGCAAGCTAAAGCTAGCCACCCTCTCACACACGAGTACAACCCATTTCAACTCTCCCTAGGTACAGATCCAAGGGATAGCCATATTAATGAGCTTATTTCATCACCAAACTCCAACAACGACCTACGTACCTATATATATATATATATAGGTTTTATTTATGTAACATATATATTAAGGTTCAGCAAGCTTTAGTACAGACGCACTTGAGGCCTTTGCAAGCGCCACTGAGCAATCCTTCGCCTCTGACACAGAGATAGCCACACTGTTTATTGCCGGTCGTCCCAATGCATCCTCCTGTGAAGAACTTGCTCGGCTTCTCGCATGTCTTTGCCTCCGTCTTCACCACCATTTCTTCTGCATTCATTCATTTACATGATTAACACAAAATATTATTGAAGAAGAAGGAACTCATCGACGTCGGAATAGAGACTTACGAGCAGCGAAGAGAAGGATGAGGATGGAAAAGACAGCGACAAGTGACTTCCTCTCCATGATGATGCTTAGGGCTTCTTCTGGTTTCTGTGATGATACAGAGTAAGTAACAAGAGTTATAGTGAGTTTGATGCATGAGGAAGAAGAGAAGGTTGGTATTTATAGGGGAAGGCGAGGTTGGAAAAGTAGCATTATGCGATGAGCCACTTGATCTTCTGTAGTAAGATGAGGTGAGACGCAACCTGAAAAGTCAGCATATGCGAAGATAAGGTCCCTTCAAATCAATACTACATTTAAAATATCTTCAGCAAGAATATTTAATTAATGATGCTTGCTCTTCTGATTGCAACTCTCGCATGCTTTTCAGCTTACCCATTGCTATCGATACCAATTTGACTATTTTTCCCATCAAATTATGATTTTTTTCCTCAAGAAAATAAATCAAGTAGAAGATTAAATTTTTTTCTTTTTCTCTTCAATATATCGGATAAAATAATAGTAATTCCAATTAAAGAAAAAACCTATCGCCCTCAGATTGTCTAAAAATATCTTATATAAAACAGAACGTGCGGACCCATATATTAAAGTTAGGTCGACTACGATGGTGTCCTTATATGTACTAAGAAAATTGGTATAGGCAATAATAATACTCCTCTGATCCTTAATATAATATAGAACCTAATTATTAAATTAATTTTGGTCTTAAATATAATATCTATTTCTCATATTTATCAATTTTTTTTAAATTATCACTGTGAATATTCCTTCAACTATAATCAAGTAGAAGATGAAGAATGATATTAAAAAAGATAATTATGGTATTTTAAGAAAAAAATGTCAAATTTCTTATAATTAACTAACTTACCTAACTTTCTTAATATAATCAAATTAGTTAAATACGTCTTATATTAAGGATCAGAAGAGTAACAATAATAATAATAAAGGAAAAAGAAAGAAAGAAAATTGGCATCATTCTTTGGATGCCAATAACTAGAGAAATCAAATATCAAATTCGGGAACAAAACCCGCAAAACATACAGCTCAGGTCTGTTTAGATCGAAAAAGAAGAACGCAATACTACCTCCGGTCCTTAATATAAGACCCCGTTTGACTTTTAGTTTGGTCCTAATTATAAGACCCTAATCCATTTTGTCTCTCATATTTATGTATTTTTTTCCAAGATAATCCTTCTAATAATGATAGTTCTAGCTAATATACTTAATTAGCAAGGATATTTTAGAAATGACAACACTTATCTATTACAAATAACTAACTTAACTTACTTCCTTAATTTTTTCAAATTAGTCAACTGGGTCTTATAATTAGGACCGGAGGTAGTAATATTTACAATTAACTAACCCAAATATGTTGGTTGCTTCGAGTATATATAATGATCAATGTTTGAAGTGAATAAAGGAAATTGCATCTTTCTATAATCTCTTCGATTTATTTTGATGTGTGTGTGTGTGTTTAATTAATTACTTTTAGGGACGTGAATGTGGATTCAAATTAAATATCCAATTCAAACAGCTCGAGGAGGGAAAAAATCAACATGAGAGAGGATTTGTAGTTATCAGTAATCGCTGTGTGGGACTCAATTAAAATTAATGAGACCGTAATGTCTTATTTCTGAGAGAGAAAGAAGAGGGATTCGCCATTAATCAAAGAACAAAACAGAAACACACGTCAGAAGCAAAGGAAAATCATACTCATGACACACAAACGCCAGAAAATTTCAAGTGATGACATTAAAGCACGCCGTGGGTGGGTCGGTAGAAGCTAGAAAATGCGACACATGCATTGTCTCTTATACGTGTCCGGTGTCCATGTGTTATTTATCATATAAGGTAAAATTGCATCCGTTTTTAACGTAAGAATTACATAACTAAGTTATGAAAATTAATAAAATTAGCTGAGTTTGTTAGTTTAATAAATAAGTGTTGTCTTCTCTAAAATATTTTTGTTGTTCATGTGCATTGAAGTTTTCTTTTGATGAAAATTTCTTAACATATGTAGGGATTCCTTGAAGAGAAACGAATAAATACTGAAGACAAAATGGACTAAAATCTTATACTAATGACCAAATTAAATCTCCAACTAGGTTATATTAAGGACTAAAGATAGTATTTTCTGGGAGCATTCAACATGCTAATCTTATTTATTTTCTTCCCGATGCATCTAGCACCTTTTGATATTATTTTACAATCACATCCAGTATTCTGATCTTATTTATGATTTAAGATGTTAAATATACTATAAATAAAATTAGGGTACTCAAAATATAAAAATAATATCAAGACGTTAGATGCATATGGAACGGTGATTAAATGCCACTTTAGTTACCTATATAATATAATAATGCGTATGGTCAAACATTATATTGTATGTTCCACACAAATTAATATAATACTGTAATCTAAATCTGTTCTCTTCCCTAAAATTTCTGGTCCCTCCATTGTTGACTGCTGACTCCAACTATTTGTTTTTATCGAAACTGAACTTGTGACTCATCCTCCTCACCACTGCTGAATCCATACACTTGGGTCTCTGCTACATTAATATGTTGACGTTTTGGGAGGCACTGGAAACTTGCTATATGACTCAGTCTTGTAGGGTTTGGGGCGGTTTTAGGTAAGGCG